ACATCATAACAAAGGAAACATAAAAACTTAGAAACTGAGAAAATGGAAGAGAAACTTCTTACAAACTATCACAAGAAGTAACATTAGACAAGTGAACATAAGCACATACAATTATATGAAACCAACCAACATTGCTGAGGACCAATACCTAGCAGTGTAAAGCTGAATTGTTTAAAGGACTCTTAATTTTAGTTAAATTAATTTGCAAATGACTACAGAAGTTGACTTAATCATGAAGCATGGAAATTTTGATGTAATAAATACTACTTTTGATGAATAAAGAATAGGGTATTCCTTGTCAGTTGCCTGCTACTTGAATTTGAAAAACAATTCCTGTAATTTACAATGACATAGGTTTAAAGAGACTTTACCCACAAGTAAGTAGAAAAAAGACCCAGGAAGGCATGTTGTCTGATAAGACAGGGGTCTGGTTCTAAAGCTACCCAATACTGGGAAGCTATAATCCTTCATACTGTCCTTGGCACTTGTGATAGTTCATGTGTTAACAACTTGACTAGTGATATGGTAGACTTTATGTTATCACCCTGTTTTGTGATCTGATGATTCAGAAAATGAGATTTTGGGACTTGGGGTTGATTAGACTTTTTGGATGATATAGATATATTTTCCATGTTGCAAGGATGTGAATTTTGGTGGCCCACTGTGGAGTATTATGGATTTAATTGTGATCCCCAAAATATGTGAGGTAAACCCTAACTCTTTTATCTATGGGTTTTCTTTGTTAACCACACAGGATTAGCATAGGGTGTGTCTTGAATCAATCTATTTTGAGATATAAAAGAGATTAAACAAGTGAGAGACGCACACACATGGTAGACATGCTATAAGCTACATGAAGAACACCCTCTAAGCTCAAAGATTGTCAACAGAGAGAGAAAGATATTCTCTTATAGGCAGTAGCTGAATTCAGAATTCTAGCTTCTATGAGAAAATCTTTGTGGAAGCCAAAAGGGGGCGGGGGAGAGAAACAGGGGCAGACAAAAGGGAGAAAGAGAAGGGAGTGGGGCATGGCTGGCTTAGCCATACTATTCCAAAACCAGCATGCCCCCCCACTCTGTACTTCCTACTTCCAGGCTGCTATGGAGCCAGAAACTATTTAAAGATTACTTATGTGAAAAAA